GAGCAGCATTGTCCAAGGATTATTAGCAATGGCAGGGAGGGGGAGGAGGAAGAAAGAAAAATGCCATGCCTTTGTAAATTAAAAAGCTTTTTCTTGAGGCTAAAAACAAGATTTCTGTTTAAGATACTGGGAAATCAGCCTCTAACCAGCACAGAGAACAAAGCTCCTTTAAGCTCTGGTGAAACTGAGCCTATAGCCTTGCATGAAGCCCACAAGGAGCCTGTGTTCCTTGCTCATGGCTTCAGTTCCTGGTTGACCCAGTGTCTGGGAGCTTCAGGTGCTGGCCCAGCTTGCTGCCCAGCCCCATGCTGCCAGGACAGCACGAGGAAGCAGCGTTTTGCCCCTTTGCAAGGGTGTTGATGTGCAATGTGTATACTTCCAAGAGGCTGGAGCCTGTGTGTTTTCTCAGGCTACAGGAACTGCCTCCTGGCACACAGTTAGGAACCCAGACCTCCCTTGGTTAGAGTGGCTACAGCCCCGAGCCCCCAAATACCCTACAAGAAAAAAACTGTGAGCAGCCCCTGTCGCGTGTTACTGCAGGGACCAGGCACTTTGGCAGGTGCCACCACGTTGAGGGGCGGCAGCATTTAGGGGAGGGAGCAGGCAGCTGACACCAGGCACCTCCAGCATCCCCCCGCAACAGCTGCAGAGGCGGCGGCAAGACAGCGCGGAGCAAACAGTGCTCACAGGAGCCAGGACAAAGCTGCTACATGCTTTTTGCACCTGGCAGCCTGCCCACCAGAGCTCTGTGTTTCTGTCAGAACACGGAGTATATGGTGGATGTTTTTTCCCCTGTATAAATGGCAGCAGCAGCAGCAGCGTTAATTGGTGCTGAGGTGCACTGAGCTCACCTGCTCGCTTACTCCTTGACATGCCTGGCTGCTGCAGGCAGAAAGCAGCCAAGTGCTGCGGGGTGGCAGGAAAGCCCCCGGACCAGCAGCCTGGGTGCAGGGAGCTTTGGGAAGCCCTGGAGCTCACTTTGCATGAGTGAGAGTCACTGCGCCCCTTCAGTCGAGAGAAGTGGATTTTCCCACCTACTGAGTCATTCCCACTGCTTTATCTTCTACAGGCACCTTGGTGGCGGTGTCAAAGGCCAAGCCCAGGCACCTTTGCCAGCTGCAGGCCACTTCCCTCGTTTCAGAAGGGTCAAAGGAGGGGCGTGGGTTGAAGACAGGGAGCTGAGAGCTGGATGGGCTGGCGGAGGGCAGAGGTAGGGCTGCCAACATGTCCCGCCGTGCAGGAGGGGAGCCAGTGATGAGGCTGTCACTGTTCTCCTGCTCCAGCTCTGGAGGGTCTGCCCCAGGAAATACCTCCTGGGGAAGTTAAAGACAAGTTGCCCTTCTTCTAGAGCACCACACTGCGTTACCCAGCCCGGTGTAACCAGTTGCAGCACCACTGCCTTGCTCCAAACCAGGCGGTCCCTGTGGCACAACCATCCCTTCTGCGATGGGGTGATGCCAGCCTCTGCAAGGCCCTACAAGGGAGCTGCACCAAAGGGATCTGAGTTACGGGCAGAGCTGCTGCGAGCCATCGGGAACCCAGCGTACCCAAAGGGCAGGCACAGTGCCCGAGCTTTCTGAAAGGGGAGATACAGCCAAGGAGCCCCAAGGTGTGTCCCGTGGCACTTGCTGGCCTGCCCAGCACTGCTTGCAAGGACAAGCCCGTGGGAAGTCACGAGAAGCCCATCAGGCAAACAACTCCAGATCAAAACAGCCTCTGATGGCTGTTGTCCCACAAAGTGCTGGCAGCAAAGCAGATGCGGCATCGCCTGCCTGTCTCTGGCTGCCAATACAGTCCTGCAGCAGGAGGGATGCAAAGACAAATCTTGGCTGATCCCAAAATAGCCTAAAGCTCCAGCTCTGCACAACCACCTTCCATGTGAACCACGTTTCAGCAGCAGCACCACAAAACTGCAGTCAGCTCGCAAGGAAGTTGGAAATAATCCTGCTTTAGCAGCATTGGGCAGGTGGTATCCCTGTGATAGTGTGTAGGGAACATTCCTTCCTGCATTGCAGCTTGGAAGTGGATTTTTGTAGGGCAATTCACAAGCACGTGTTTGGAGAGAGTAACTCCAGCAACAATTTGAACCTCTCCCAGTAGCTCCTCAGCAGGCAGAGGCTACCCAAGGAACCACCAAGATCGTACCCACACCATCTCCCACCTCCACCTTTAGCGGTTGGTTAGCTGTAATTTGGCGTTACGTTGTCATAGCAAATCTGAAAGGAAACTATGGCTCGGGGACATTTCTTATTGCTTTTTTCCTGCCAATTTGCTCTGGTCCTCTACCACCATCTGAAGATGTGTCCTTCCCTCGCTTAAAATGCATTATAAGAATCTCAGTGCTTTAAATGCCTTTTGTCTATTTTTTTTTTCATGTAAGATGCCACCCAACAGAACTTTTACTGCAGGTGTTTTCTTTTTCTGTTTTTTATTTTTAAATGTACAAACCCCCCACCAGTTTAAAATGCCTATATTTAGCACTGCTTTTTGCCTTTGCAAGAAATGCAGAGCCTGCTCCATAGGCACACAACACACAAAAACACAAAGTTGGTTTAAATTTAGCATGGATGCATGTTAGCTCTATAAATACAAACTGCCTGCACGCATGGTGTCACTGCAGCCTCCAGGGGAAGCCGAGCAAACAGAGCTGCGACACTGATAACTGCAGGAAATGCAGCTTGCTCCAGCCCCCCTGCTCCTGCTTGGCTTTATATAAGAGCAAGTCTGTTATCAGTGTTACATGATTACTAAATTCCTCATTACTCATTTAAGCACTATCCTTGGATAAAAAAGGACATGACAGATAGCTGAGCATTTCAGAGAGCGCCCAGATGGACACCCACACACATCCGCCTCTCAGCCAGCGCTCACCAAACCTCAGCGGAAAACTGCAAGGAACCAGCTATGAGCACACCAGGGTCCTGTTGCTGTTGCCAGAAGGCACGTTCCTGCTCAGGTTTACCTGACTTTGTACTGTTTGCTTAGTCATAAAACACCTGGGAAGGTACAGTCTTCAGTTGCAGTATTACCTTTGTCCAATACTACCAAAAAAATCCCAACCAAAAGCAAAAATCCACAGAATCACAGAATTTCTAGGTTGGAAGAGACCTCAAGATCATCGAGTCCAACCTCTAACCTAACACTAACAGTCCCCACTAAACCATATCCCTAAGCTCTACATCTAAACGTCTTTTAAAGACCTCCAGGGATGGTGACTCCACCACTTCCCTGGGCAGCCTGTTCCAGTGCCTAACAACCCTTTCAGTAAAGAAATTCTTCCTAACATCTAACTTAAAACTCCCCTGACACAACTTTAGTCCATTCCCCCTCGTCCTGTCACCAGGCACGTGGGAGAACAGGCCAACCCCCACCTCACTACAGCCTCCTTTAAGGTACCTGTAGAGAGCGATAAGGTCACCCCTGAGCCTCCTTTTCTCCAGGCTGAACAAGCCCAGCTCCTTCAGCCGCTCCTCGTAGGACTTGTTCTCCAGGCCCCTCACCAGCTTCGTCGCCCTTCTCTGGACCCGCTCAAGCACCTCCATGTCCTTCTTGTAGCGAGGGGCCCAAAACTGAACACAGTACTTGAGGTGCAGCCTCACCAGAGCCGAGTACAGGGGGACGATCACCTCCCTAGCCCTGCTGGCCACACTGCTTCTTATGCAAGCCAGGATGCTGTTGGCCTTCTTGGCCACCTTGGCCATCCAAATATCTCTTAAAACAGTACCTTTCTTCACGGTGATTCTAAAAATCTGAAAGCAAATCTGAAGAGCAGTCTTTGTGGCACTGAGTGCAATTTGAGTGTCTTGGGTCTTTTCTGATGCAGAGTCTTCAGCTCCCAGCATTAAACCTGGTGTCTGAGTTCAGGTCGCTCTGCATGCGTGGGCAGCACTAGTGCTTGCTCCCATGAACTTCAGTGCAGCAGAGCAGGAAAACAATCTTGCATATGACACTGTGTAGCAGTGCAAAATGTAGTTGCCATCTATGGTTCCATTATTGGAACTTCTCAACAGAAGCTGGGAAATTTCCTCAGGAGGGCTACAAATTGTGCAATGCTTTTTCTATGGTAAATGAGAATGGAGAGAAAAAATTCATAAGGCTTTAGGGTAATTAATTGTTACCTTCATAGCACATTACACAGTGCCACCTGATTCTTTTCGTACTTTCCAGAATTTGCATCAGGTTGAGGTGTGTGCAAAACTCAGGCATGAATAGAGATTTTGAGGTAATCTCACCTGCTGCGCTGCCTAAGGCAGATCACAAAAGCATTTTCTATGGAGACAACTCCAATACCAGAATTCAAACATGAAGCTAAGGCACAGAAATAGAAAATTCGAAATTACAGGATGAAGCTGCATCCTTTTTGAGTTGCTCCAAATATTCTCACCCGTAGGAGTTGCAAAACCAGTTAATGACACTGTTACTAGAGACGCAGAAGCATGAGCAGCTCCAGTGAGTCACTGGGGAACTGTGGGCAAGATGCTCCCAATGCCCTGCTGCTGTTTGCCAAAGGTAATTTAGCACCCAAATATAGCAACAGCAGGAGGTTGACTTCAGCTCTCATACATTAGCAGTATGCACGAAATCCACTCTTTTGGAGGTGCCTGTGGTTATTCTCACTCTTCTGCTCTTAAATAGTTACTTCCAACACGATATGCTGGACCTACTTCAATCCCGGGATGCCTGTACAATGGTAGCATTTCTCTCTCTCACGTGGTTTTATGGTTATGGTACAGGGTGGTGCATGAGTAACAACAAGGAACTGGACTCCCTGCTGCCAAAATCCCCAGCTGATCCCCAGCCCCTCTGCCAGGGACTGCTCCATCAAGGCGACTGCCCAGGCCCGAAGCTCATTGTGTGAGACCAGGGCACAGGGCGCTGCCCTGACCCAGCAGGGACTCACAGGTAGCGCTCTGCTCTCCCCTGTCCTGCCCAGGCCACCTTTGGCAACCCAAACTCAGGATGCAGCAGCAAGGAACAAACATCACTAATAACACCACACATTTCTACAATTGTTTTTATTAGTTATGGAAGAATCCCCCACTAGTATTTACATAGTGCAAAAAAGCTGTTATTACTCCAAAAAGTACGGTAGACAGAACAATCATCCTTCATACAGCAAAAAAGAAATGGAACAAAACCCTTCATATTGTATTTCTTAATAGTTTTTCTACTGCTTTAACCTAAGTATTACCATAAATTTTAAGACATTAAAGATTAAACAGTTTTCCTAATTAGAATCTATTTAAAAGTAAAATACACGAACTATTGATGAACATTTAGAAGGTGGGCTGTGCCAACTGGGTTTCTACTTTCAGTGTTACCATTCACTGGAGTGGAAGTTTTAGGTTAGACACTCTTATGTTTCCTTACTTGAGGCAGGGTGGGTTGGAAACCCATGTTGTTTGTTTCTATGGCTTGCTTCTGCTGGTTTTTGTTTCACAAACAAGTCGCCATGTCTACTTTTCAAATGGCTAACATTGAACTCAAGAGTTTCACTAGTTGGCACAACTTCACAGAAAATACTTAATGACAGTTTCAGCAAACAGCAGCTTTCCAAACAGTAATACTTTTTACATACGTATTTAAAGTAACATTATTAAAATTTAAGCTTCTGTTAAAGAACTGGACAGAATCACACTGTGTAAGCTCCCACCCACCCCAATGAGTATAAAGACACCTCTTATCTTTACCATACGAATACCAACAAGTGCATCATCGAATGTTTTCTATAATGAATTTTTAAAACACAGGTCAACACCCTCAGTCACTGTTTAGCTCCAATCTTGCAAATACCTGCACACAACTGAGGCAGAAAAATAGGCCACTGTCCTTGGCCAGTGGAAGTAATGCTGTCAAGCATGTGTTAGCAGGATCAGGTCCTTAACCTTAGTCATTTTTACTTGGTCCAACTAAGGACAAAGTTCTTCAGAATTCTTCCCTTTTACATATTTGCAATCCATATTTTATTATTTTTACAGAGATACTTAAAGTATTTATATAAATAGGTTGTATACATAGCCACCTCTATCAGCTTTAAAGATCCCTACCCCTACCACAGATACATTATTTTTGATTTTACCAGATAAATTAAGTGGTGAAATCATTTCTACAAAGAATGTCTTAAGAAAAGTAGATTCATTTTCTGAATAATCATTTGCACAACAAAAATATCTATACACCTATAACTACAGAAACATCTTTTCTTGGGAACCATAACAACCTGTATAACAAACTGCATACTTTTATACTGAAATAGAAATTCAGCTAAAAAAAAAACAAAACCACATGGTATTGTAAAACATTTGTATGCTTTTTTTTTTTTTTTTTTTAATTCAGGTGATATTAAAATTCAAAATTACCACAGTGAGATACTCTTCTCAAGTGCTTTAAGTGGTAAGGAACTTCCCTAAATTTAGATGCAAATGGATCTTTAGATGCAAATGGGAATTGCAATTTCATTCTCACAGTTATTGCTCATTCCCAGCTTATCAAAAAAGGAAGCACTAAAAACAGTTTCCGTAACTCATTTTCAGTTTGCTCCTCTAAGGGTGATCTGCCACATTTTTAAAAAAAGAGATTAGTTCCTCATTTGCTGGCAAACAGAGACATTAGAAGTGCTGTATCATCTTCAAGAACTCTATTAAACCTGTAGCAAAATTGCAGGCAGTTAAGTAATGGGCTGAATATTACAAGTTTTTTTTTTTTTTATAAATGTCAAAAAACCTTAAAATGACAGTCCAAGTTCAGAAAAGACATACAAAAAGATGCGTCTGATGCTAATACTTCAAGATCAAAAGTTATTTGAATCACTGGCACTGAAAAAGCAAATGGAAAAGTTACAAACTTTTTTTTTTTTAATGTTCTGGTAAAGTTTTGCCCTCAGTGTATACACTGATCTCAGTGAATGTTGAGACATGCTTACACATCCAAGGGCAAGTTTTGCTTGTCAGCAGTTCAAACACCTATCATTTCCTAAAGCAAAAACTGTTTCCAAACACACAGACAGTAGAAGTCTGCCATATCTATACAGTAAAAGGTTTAACATTCAGGAGGCATCAATCCTTAGTCTTTGTTTTCCTACAAAACGCCTGTTCTAATATCTAGGAAGAGTACATTAAGGAAGTGTGACAGGACAGCCAGTTGTCCTAGCAGCTCTCTACACTGCATATCTACATAACCCTTGCTATGCCTGTATCTATCAAAACACTATTTACATAACACACACAGTTTCTATTATTCTCATTAGCATCCAAAAAACCCAGGGCTAGATGATTTCTAAACCTGGAGTCTTATTTCCCCAGTGCAACCTAAAATGCCAGCATTGCTAATACTATAAGCGCTGGTCCCATGTTAATAAGTGTGGACTACATATCTAACTAAGCTATCAATTTCTTGTGTTTTTCTTTCAGCCAACCCAAATGAATTTAATATTTTGATACAAGTGATCAAGAGAAATGAAGTGGAATTAAAACAAACATATGTTTGCTATAAAAGTGTATTTGTGTGTTACTCTTTGGCTACTCTTGTAGTGAAGCTCCTGCTGCTGGCAGTTTCAGTATATCTCTCATCAATATAAGACAAGGATGGAAAACAGATTCCTTGCATGCGAGGTTTAAACATACACTCAATCTTCAATCTGAAATCAGTTAACCACCAGTTAACAGATTTCACTTCATATTCAAAATAAAATTAAGGAACGGTTCTGTAGCAACACGTATGTTTCAAGGGCGTGGGGGTCATTCCTTTTACCTCAGGACCACTGCAATACCTCCCCGAATTACAGGGCACTTCTCCCTTTCCTGGGCAAACTACTTCCTTTTCTACTCTAGAGGTCAACTCCTAAGGCTGCTACAACTGAGAACAGACAAAAAGAGGTCACAGTTTGAATACAAATTGTTAAGATCCATCTTGAACTCAACAAGAAAGTGACCAGGACCAAAGCATGCCGATGAACTTACCAAGAAATTGAGCCACTGTGTCATTTGCACTTGCTGTTAAATAATTACTCTTCCTTTTTGCAATGTTATAAATTACAATATGCAAAAAACAGCATTCCTGAGGTAAGCAACAGGAGAAAAAGGAAGTCATCAGTTTGCTAAAAGCCCTGGGTAGGGATTATGGTTAATGATTCACTTAGTGTGGTTTGGCAGGCAGCAACTGTGGTGAGCATGGGGAATTTGTTTTCTTTTCCTGCTTTTATGTAATATTTCCACTCTGTAAACAGACTAATAACAATAATAAATACATTATACCCCTGTAGTTTAAAGTTTCTGGAATAAAAAGTTGGTATAGCTTATTGTAACAACTGCAACCATCTCAACTATCAGCGGCTTTAAAAAGCTGCATCTATCTTAGCATAAGAACCACGTACAGATTTCTCTATTTACTCTTCATGAAGACTGCAAACAAAGTTTTCCAGCTTTTTCTTTTTTTAATGAAGATAACCAAAACCTTACTTCTATTTCTAGACAGAACTAGAATAATCACAGCCAAATACACTGACATGCCTGGCATAACACCAATGTGAAGCGCTGGTAACTTGTCAGTCTTAAAACGTATCTTATCTGTTTGAAAATCAGCTAAGTGGTCACATCATAAAATAATTTTGCTTAAAACTGGTCAGTTATAAAGTGTTTCCTTTTGCAAAAGATTTAATGAATACTCACTGACAGATTTTCCACAGAGTTTCTATTCTGGGAAATAGATACTGATTAAAAGCTAAGCTAGTTTTTAAATCAACCAAGTAATGGACAGCTACAAAAATATTGTAAATTAAATACACATTAAATGTTTAACAGTGCAAAACGTTGAGATGAAGCATATGAAATAATGGCTGCAACTTTTACAACAGTTAGTTTTAGTATAATTTCTAAAAAGTTCCTGAGTTCCTGCTGATTTCTATGGCATGTAGATGGAATCTGTGTGATCTTTATTCAAAGAAGTGCAGATAGTGGGCTTATGTTGAGTGTTACTTGCATGCTTGTCATTTGTCCATTCCTCACCATCAACGACTGGATCAACCTGCTCAGAAATCTCTATTTCTTCCTCCTCACTTTGTTCTGCATTGTCTTCTTCGGCACCACTAAGGGTCTTGCCAAGCTGAAGGGTCTCCATAGTTCTCTGGGTCTCTGAAACCCAGGATTCAATTCTGCTATTAAGCTGAACCTCAACAGAAATTGGTTCATGGGCATAATCCTCATCATCTTCCTCATCTTCCTCATCCTCCTCTTCTAGCATTCCTGGCACAAGAGTACTAGTGGTACTGGTCATAGAGGAATTCAAAAGATCTTGGCAGCTGCCATCTAGTGATCCTGTCTCTGTACTCTGCTGCGAGGCCTGTTCCAGATTGTCATCTGGTTTCACCTCCTCCTTCTCACCTGGTATGGATTTTCCGTGATTTGTTGCTGAGGTAGTGCTGGATGTAGCCAGTGGTGGTTGTTTATTAAGGGTAGATTTTTCAGTTTGACCATTACCTGCTTTTTCTGGTACTGCAGCCTTGGATGAGGATTCTCTCTCATTTTCAGAGGTTTCTAACCCATCGGATGTTTCTACCATATTTCTCCAGTTTGTTTCTACAAGTTTCAAAAGAGATTTAGGTAGGAAACAGATTAGTTCTTTCTGTATAAAAATATTTCTCCTCAACATCCCTCAATTATTAAAACAGAAGTTGAAGGTAATCACTTTAATATTACACTTGCTATAACAATTTGAACTAGATAATGGGGGAAGAAGAGGAAGGGGGAGAGAGAAAAAGAAAAGCTGTTTTGTTAATAGATTTTAAGACACATTATTAAGTTGAAAGTTCATGCACTTAGCTTTCTACATACACTGTGGAAGCACTAAATATAACTGAGTATAATCAAAGAGGTAAGACAAAATATTTTAAGCTCAAGTATAAATTAAAAACAGACTGCCACAATCTTAAGTCATCTGTTTAATGATTTCTCAGAAAACACTTAAGTGAAGTAATCTTAAGACACCACAAAAGAATTAAAACAAGACAGTTTCTTGCAAACCAAAAAGGATACTAATAAAGAAGTTTCTGACTTCAAATAAACATTCTCCATTTTCTCCCCGTCAACTGCACCTATGTTAAATAATCCGTCTATTGCTCACAATATATTCATTCATTATCTCATATTTCAAAAGTTAAGCTATACATCCTCTCTTCAGAGATCTCAGTAATTTAGTTCATAACCTGTCATTTTCAGCCTCAATCACAATCAATTCTGTGTTCGAAGAGTCTTGTTACCATACATTTCTGTGTTAGTTCAATAAATCTGGAAAATCCACCTCCACTAATGCAAGTAAGCTAACTGTAACACTTATGAAGTGTAGAACTCCAAATTATGGTTTTCTGTATAGTTCAGGAAAAATTACTTCTAAAACTAGCCAATTCTGTATTACTCCCAAAAGCTGTAGAAGACTAAGGAAGCTAAATATTTTTAGCTGCATTTTTCAGTAAGTAGCATTTGGAAAGCTCCAGCTTCTGATTATAAAATTAATTTTTTAAACACTTACCATATTCTTTCTCATTCACTTCAGATATGGGTTCAGAAATAACACTACAGAACGAGATAGCACTTGCTGCAGAGGGATTACGAGAATGACCCATGTGATGGGGCGCCTTCTTGACATTCTTCAAAGCTTCTTCTGCCTGTTCCTGTTCCATTGCAGCAACCATATCTCTGTATGCTTTTCGGGCCTCTTCAGTCAGTGATACCAGCTTATTAAATAGATCCTAAGTATGAATACAGATTTATTTTGTTTTAAATAATCAGTAGTTCTTATTGATAATTTTCACTTTAAATTACTTCTTTTAATCAGTAGCATACCACGTAATGAATTTTAAGCCTACTAACACCAAATACCTTTACTTCAACCAAAAACTAACTCTGCTCTGTATTACATGTAAATAAATGCCACTCCACATATACACAACTCTAAAATGTGCTTACTTTAAAACACATTGTTTTCCTTACAATTTTAAGCCTACTAGAAAATTTCGGATGGCTTTTCAAGTCTATGAAAGCTACAGAAATGTCACGACCAACATTTCAACACATAAGCCTCTCAGTTACATAAAAAATACTGAATTTCAAAGAATAGATCAGGGATCAGGGCTGGGCCATTATCAAATGGGTAGTAGCTTGATGTGCTGCTCTCCATGTCAAAGTAACTCTTACCTACAAGGAACATACATTGTTTACTTCACTCATACATTAAGTGAATTACTCACCTCAGCACCTGAGTAGTTGAAGATACCCACTACACTAACAGGAACCAGCTTGTTCACACAACGGCCGAGAGCTTTACGTCCAAGAGCAAAGACAAAAGGAATTTCCTGTTCCCGTGCCATGGCTATTACGTTATACAGAGCTTCATCCAATCCACCTTGAAGACATTAAATTTTTAATGGATACCTAGTCAAAGCCATAATATGGCGAGACATTCTGTACCCCAACTGTAATTGTAACTAGTCAGCAAAATCTCAATACACACAAATCACCAGCTACTATGTATCACAGGATAACGGACTATAAATTATGAGTATAGCACATGAGGATATATCAAGGCACTTCTGTTCAGTGATATTCGATATTCTCTTAGTATATATTCTCTGTTAGTCCTGCAAACACTTTTTTTTCCCCACTCTTTTGTTCTTCCATTGAATAGATCTTTACTCTTTTGATATCTCAGGAAGAGTCTCTCTGCATTTCTGGCAGAGGCAAAATGTGTTGTTTGGCTAACTGACATTTCCACATGAGGAATCCTCCTTAAGAGCACCCAGAACTTAGGACTTCAGGTATATTACAGACATAACGTAATAAAATCAAAGTCTACAGTATCTATTATTCTTTATATTATATTTATATTTTTATATTCTTTATTATTATCTGTTATTGTTCAGCTATTTGTTCCTCATGAACCAGTTTCTTCCAGAATGGAAGATGAAAAGAATTAAATAAGTAGAGACTGACAATTGTACAATGGATCCATGAAGTGTTACATCCTGCATAAAAATGCTGTTAACCTTGCTATTTAGTGCTACGCAGTCATACACACACAAAAAGAAAGGAATGAAATTAAGCCCATCACTTGCTTTTTATTAATTATACCTTTTGACTGGATTTTTTCACAGTTGGGAGATATAATTACACACTTGATCTTGTTTAGCTTCATATGCTTAGTAACTTCACGCAGTCCCATAACCAGTCTTCTCCTTGCTTTAGCTCTCATGGGATCTTTTTGATAAATCCGTTCTTGAAAGCTGACAAGCTCTTGCAATAACAGAGTCACACATTCATCTATTTCTTTACTCAGAACTTGGTTACAGTACCTGTTGTAAATTCAAAGAAACAAGTATTAGCATAGCACATACTCAACTGTTTCCACTGAGCCTCTCTTTAACCAAAAAGATGTTATTTTTTATCATAAGTTTTATGGAATTAAAGTTATTTGAAGTGGTTAAAAGGGAGTTAGAAATCAGACTGTATAAGCAAAGTTTAAAAAATTTTTTGACATTTCCAGTAATATCTGTTACCTCACAAAGTCAGACAAATGGAGTATTAAGAAATGCACAGAAATATTCCAGCAAGTGCCGAAAAAAACAGTTCTTTTCCTTAATTTGATACTCTTAAAAATAAAGAATATTAAATTAACGTACTAAGAGTAAATACTACACTACTTTCAGCATTCTTACGTATTCCACCTCTTTCCCATCCACAAAGTAGACTGTACTCCTTTAAATAAAAATCTTCTACAGAGTATTTTAAACTAGCTTACTTGCATTGCAGCAAATGAAGAAAATCTAAAGTGTGCATATACATACACAATATATATACACCCGTGTGTGCACACACCTGACATATATATATGTAGCCATCAATCTGTAGGACAATAAGTAATATGAAAATACTTACACATACTTGTATTGACGAAAGGCTAGTTTATGCTTATTCAACTCCTAAAACTATTAAACCTATCCATGCTTAAAAAATTAGGGGGACTGAAGTGCAGAACTTGAATTTAAATTAACAATGCAAGACTCTTACTCTCTGAATCTCTTGCTGTGAATTTTGGTTATTGCAGAAGATGCCATTGGACTACCTATTCCAGAACTAGCAGGTGAGCCTTGTGACACCGGGGTCATACAGTAGGGAGAATTCTGACTTGCTGGTGAAAGTGAAGCATCACTAGGCATACTTAATCCAGTTTCTGAAAAACAGTTTTGAAACATTATAAAGTGCAAGGACATTTTCACATAGAAGAAAGAAAACTGCAATTCCTATGCACCTTTCTCACTTATGCCAAATTACATTTGAAAAACACTAAACAGTATTCTTCTCTGGATGGCTAATTCAAAGGCAGAAAGCAAAATAAGCACATAGCAGATGCTTTGCATGGGTCAGGTAACCAAGCAATATTTGAGCATTCATAATCAAACATCTAATGCCCAGTTTAAGGAATACAACAAAATAGAAAACCTACCTAAATGCTACAACTTCTTTCAAGAACTCTTTACTATATGATGTTTAACTACTTTATTCATAGAGTATTTAAGATTTTCACACTTATCTTTAATCAGGTGAAGTCAAGAAAATCAAGCAGAAGAAAAGTTCTGAAGCAGGACATCTGGACACTTGTTAGACAACCTGCTTCCCTCCCTCCCTCAATCAAGAACATGGAAAATTCTTTGGAACTTCCCAGTTGCTCATGGCTGTTTGCTGCAAACTGACAATCCAGACACTACAGTTTATTGACAAAGTGTTCAGCAAACTGGAAACCCCCTTTGACAGTTTAACTTTTCTAGAAAAGTTTCAGTTTGCAAAAATTAACACACACTGTGACCAATGTGGCATAGCTGAAAAAAAGTTTTATTTATTTATTTTGATAAATGGACAAAAAGTTATCAACGCTGAGAGATTTCAAGTAACCACTCAAGAGAAATTTATTAAAAGGCTATATGGAGATTATCAACCTAGAACACATACTGCCCTGAGGCTTCCACAAATGAGGGACGGACAAGTCATTTTAAAAAAAGGATTCTATTTTCTAGTATTTCATGATGTTAAGAAAAATTGCAAGATAACACCAGCAGACTGTATTGTATGAAAGAGAGACAAAATAAGTAGGTTAGTAGAACTGGGGTAGAGTGGGCAAGGGGAAAAGAAGAGAGAGACTGACCTTCTTGAGAGGCCAACTCCTGAGACTGATCGGTAGTCAAACTTATATGAACCTCTTTCTGTTCATCAGATCCCAAAAGACTGTGGTCTACTGACAAACGGCCTTTCTTCTCTTCTCTTTCTTTCAAAATAATCTAGGAACAAAACCAGCAGCTATTAACATTAAAAATAAACAGGATACCTTTACAGAAAAAGGCTCATTTGATTAAACAAAACAAAATCAACTAATTAAAAACCTTCCTACTCATAGTGGTATAAAGAAAGCTGAAGTCATCTATGTTTCCTCACTGACCACAAACAGTACTTCAATCTAGCATTTTACAGATGGTATATTCCACACTCCTGTACTTCCACATCAACAGTACTTCCAACAGTTTTAGATATTAAGCACTTTTACAGTTTCTTTCTGGTACACAATACTTACTCATTAAGAATTCCTCATTTCCATTTCTGCAAAAAGATTCTTATGCAAGAATATTAGTTGTCTTCATGAAGACAACATATGAAATACAAATAAAACCATTTCTTTCGCATGGAAAAAGCACAAAGAAGCAGCTGTGGGTATACTGCCATTAGTATAAATGATAAAGACCTTAAGAGAGGTGTCCTTTTTTCCACAGGAAGCTGTGGATTTCTATCTCATGTAAATCCCAGATAAGATGGGGGGGGGGGGGGAAGAGGGAAGTTACCAGTGAGAGGAAAAAAGGCAACTTAGCCTCAGTCAACCTTTGCACGTACACAGCTTTACCAGATTCCAACTGCCCATCTCATCAGGTAGGCAAATCTTGATTAAGATCTGTGGTGCATTAGCACCAGTAGCTACCACTTCTTTAATGCTTACCCACTGCCTCTTTTTTTTTTTTAGGGGTATCTTTTCTGTTTTACCTTCTGATTTCAGAACATATTGTATTATCTGTGTACAAACCTATTTAATATATACACATATATATACATATACAAACAATTAGTTCTAAATTCACTCAAAACCTATGTGTTTGCTTCACGTTATACAACCATTTCTAAAAAAAGGTATGGAAATCTAGCATACTACTTTGCATTACAAACTAGGATTCAGCAACATGGAAAGAAATACACAAACTTCTCCATATATTCTAGTGCTTACAGTTAAAATATCCTCAAAACTCCTATTAAGATAAATTTATACACCCCCAACTAGTTACAGAAGTAGAAAAGTTATGCATGTTACATGTCTGTATCAAAAGGACAGGACATCAGCATAATAAGAACTAGAGGTAGAAGCTCATGAGTCCTTCCTCAAGGAATAGTGACCATGAGTTTATGGTAAGAAAATTTTTATTTTTGAAGTATGAGTGCAGATCAGAACAACCTACAGTTGATGCATTTACCTTTTTAAGTGCAGTAGGGCGTTTCAGTTTTGAAATCTCTCTTTCTTTTCCTCTTTTCACTTTTGGAGCAGTTGAATCCAAAGGATTAAGGCAACCCATAGATGGCTGTCCCTTTGTTAAAGATTTTCTGCTGGCAGATTCTTTGGTATGAAAGGGAGCAGCACTGCCAACTAAATACAAGAAAGATAATAGTTTCACTAAAAGACATGTCAGCTTTATTTCAACATTACTTTCAGAATTTCCACTGGTGAGTTCTCAAAGTGCATTTTCCTTCCTTGGAAAAAAAAGCAGTTCATAATGACAGGAAAATTACATCATCAGATATTGTCAATTCCAGATGGTTTTAAGCTTTCTTCAGTTTAGCCTCATGCTTTAGGAAGCTACAGATTCCAGGAAAATAATTACTTTACAACACTTAAAATGGATCTCTCAAATGACTACACATAACATTATTAGTAAGATCATAATAGTAAGATACAATGCAAATATTTATCCTTTTTTCCCCCCTGAAAAAGACTTGGTTAGTCAAAGGAGAGAACAGATGAGAGTACAGCATGTAGTGAAGTATCTTCTGTGAGAAACAGAATAAAATAAATAGTCTGAAATGAAAATGCCAACTGTTCTTTGCTGAGCTTTGTTTGATATAACCTTGCCAACTTTAATTAATGTTTGAACACAGATGAAACTCAAAGCAGGTAAATGAAGTAAACATGGTAACTATGTGCATAACAATGGACTCTAGGCTACATACTACTGCTCAGGAATGAGATTCAGGGGGTTATGATAGATAACTATGAAAGTATCTGTTCTGTACTCAGCAGCAAACATAAAAAAAATAATTTAGCATTAGGTGTTGATAAAGAAATAAGGAGTAAGTGTAATTAAGCTGGTGCATACATTTGTGATAGAACTATAACTTAAAATTTTGTGTACATGTGACCTCCTGCATTTCCAAGTAGATACTGTAGAACTAAAAAACAGATACAGAGAGGGCAATAAGGATGATCAGAAAGACCAGCTTCCGCACACTAAAGAGACTAGGACACTAGCGAGAACACTAGTGAGACTAGTCAGAACTCACTACTGTTGGACTTTATGGACAGTAAAAGCATGCAACAGAAGTGACAGATAGCTTTGGAAGCAAATTTGTTTGAGAAAACCTTGGGTCAGGAGGCACTGAACTACAATCAGTAGAGGTTTGAAGAATATCCTGGAGAGGTATCCCTCTGTATCATAGTCACAGGTATCTTTTCTAAGCTGCTTTCGAGGAGAATTAGGTAATATTCTGTAATAATACACTTATTTTCACACATTCAATACTGAATCACTCTTAAGACAAATGCTGCATTTTACTAAGTGTTTATCTTCAGTTCTAATATGGACTTCCACTATTATATACTGCAGCTCAAAGGAAGTTAGCACAAGTGAATTTTTGGAGAAATAAATGCATCAAGTAGATCTTCCTAGGTTTTTGTTATGTTTATATTCCAAAATAAGAAAAAGGAAAAAGCACGCTTAAGATGCTCAGAACAATGACGTTTCACACTTATATTGTCACAAAATACATTTTGTGATAGTCAAGATGAGAAGTACCTGTGTATGAAAGAGGCCTGGTGTTGGTGATCTGACGAGCTTTCATTGCTTGCTGCTGCTTTTCAAGAGCTGCTAACATGTCCCCCAAATCTAACTGAACAGGGGTCTTACTCTTCTTTCCAGCTGCTTTTGATAAAGCCTCCTATAAGATGAACGTCACATACGGATAAATACAGAGAAATAGTGCCTGCAGAACAGTCTTTGAAAGAGATTCTTGCTTTTACAGAATAGAAAGGAGTAGCTACTATAAGATATTCTACTTTACCAATCTCTGGTGGGTGGGGGTAGGGGCACACCTGAAGTTTTTTCTGTTCCATGCTTATCTCTGAATACTCTTGAGCTGTTGCAAGCGCTGCTGCCAAGGCCTTCTTCTTCTGACTTTTTGCACGCTTTGGTACGGAAGTTGTAATGGGAATTGGAGTTTGGACTATATTGATTGGAGAATTCTCTGGTAAGTCATCCAACTAGGATTTTAAACAGCGCAAAAGACACCATTAAAGACCTTTCTCTTGAGACCACAGGAAGCATGATGCTGATGAGGTCAAACGAACCATTGTTTTGGTCAGCAGTATGATAACCCAATAATTAAACCCAACTAGATGACCCAGTAAACTCATAGAACAAGTTCTGTGTCTTTCATTTTTGTAAGAAAAACATTATTCTATTTGTCTCCAATTATGTCAGAGGGTTTTCCAGTCTGATTGCTAAATAAGGGAAATTTTTTTCCCCTCAGAAGATTTCATGTAGGACTTGATTTTCGTGGAGATCAGCCCAATAGATTAAATAGTTTACATGTACGATTCTACAACAAAACATTTAAGTAAATCACATAAAAGAGCATCTTCATAACACTTATTTCTAGAGTCTAGATGCAGATATGCTTAGCTCATTGTCCTTTCAGGATAAATTAGGACAACTGTAGTTATTTTGGAGAATTGAAACTGTTAACTATGCATTTGCAGATTTAACAATTCTGCATCAAAGCTTCAGTCTGAATGCAAGTCCTTGTGAGTCAGAAAGAATAACCAGGATGTGATCTATTAGCCCGAAGACAGATAGATAAAGCTCCGAATAAGTTTTAATATCAGAAATCCATCTGTATCTACTGTTCATCCAAAATTCAGCATGCAACTTCAAAAAGCACAAAATTCATAAGAAACTATTCGTGAAATGAAGAAGTGTTCATATCTCTTACAGTCTCTCCCATTAACAGACTCATTAGAAGCCAACAGCAGTCTTTTTAAAATGGTTTCTCTGCACCATTTAATTGGCATTTCTTTAACATCTAAAACCAGTAATGCAAATACCCTAAGAACATCATAATGTCCACATCATAAATATTGTGATATGACTTCATAAAAAGACAAATTTATGTTATCTCAAAATAACTTCCCTTAATTTAAATATATTTTGCAAAACAAAAGAGTTACTTACTACTTTGGGTGAAATCTTTTGTTGGATGTTACTACTTTTGCTGCTACTATTGTCACTATTTAGCTCTGGGAATTCATCCTCATCCTAAACAGTAGAAAAAATTAAGAATGAAGAGCACGGAACCAGAATTCACATGAAAAGCATTAACTAAAACAGCTGGAAGTACAAGGATGGATTTAATCCTAAAGTTCCACAAACTAGAAGAGCTTAATAGTGGCACAAACAGAAAGTGACAGGAAAAAAAAGTTAAAATAGTGTATCTGTATCTGCATAACCTGTTTAAAAAAAAGAAAAAAAGAATTTACTAACACTTAAATTAAAGAAATTCAGCTATATTAAGAAAATAAAAAAATATTAGAGAATGGTATTTTTTTATCTGCAGGAAAACAGAAGTTTTTCACCTTCTCCCTGTTCATAAAATCACTTATTCCACAATTATTTCACTAATGCATAAACAGTTTTCAAACAACATTACCTCAAAATACAGAGGTTCAGGGCTCTGTTCTGTTCTACTCGACTGACTTGGAGTCAGAGGCTTTTCATGTCGTTTTTGCAAATTCTGCCTTCTTTCTGAAGATGTGCTGTGGCCTCTGCACCTGAAACCAGACTAAAAAAATAACAAATATGGTCAGCATTCTGCAATTTTGATTTTTCAAGGTGTGCGCACACATAAGACATCCATGTCTATTAAATACAAACTAAGAAGGAACAAGTTGTATGTAATTAGATTTAATAAGCAGTTTATTTTTTTTAATGCAAAAGCTATTCAACAGATAATACCTACTCCATTTCAAATTCCTTATTTTCATGTGTTACATGAAACATAACAAAAAAATTCTTCAGTTTAGAACCATTAACAACATACCTGTGAACTATTTCTTTGCTCAGCTTGTCTTCCACCTCTAGAAAACGTCTGAGTTTTTTCAGCCCAAGGTTTTTTTTGAGTTGCCTGGGAATTTACATTAGTCCAACTTACACCAGCTGAAAGGGAAGCATCAGCTATGACAAATGAATCAGTGTGACAGAATGCATCAGTGACATACATACCACCAGAGGTAGAAACTCAAGTTTGATACAAACACAGTTCTCTGAGAAGGTCTAATTCTCCTCTTATAATTTAAACTTCTGTTAATAGCTACAGAAATAATGAGAATCACCTTTATGGAAGAGTCCCATGACAGATATTCAAACTGCTAAAAAACGATCACTAGGAAGCAGTCAAAGGAAATATCAGATTTGCATCCCTAACAATTTCAGTCCAGCCATAAATAATAGTCACTAGCATTATCAACTACTATCAGAGTAATCACATTTTTTTGTGTGTGTTAAAGTACTTCTAGAACTTCAAAAAAAAAGTGTGAGCACTTCTTAAATAGGTAACAGAGTGTAGAGTAATGCAATTACCACCCTTATATGAACTGCAGTCCAATAGAGTAAGGAAAGAAGATAAAACACAATACAAACACAGCTTTGTCTGAACGTTTCTGTTGGAAAATTTAGTTTTCCCTCATTTGAAGACACAGTTGATAAATTATTAGCAATAGCTACTTAGATACTTTCATTCAACCACCAGCAGGGAGGCATTGGTGGGGATGGTAGAAGTCACAGTAAAGAAAAATCTTCAGAAGTATTTGATCAGTTACAACAGCATCCTGGAAGCAGATCAACTGTTCCCAGCAAAATGTCAAGCGAAAATACAGAAGTAGCCCAGCAAAATATGATATAGCTCACTAGGGAAATACTTACTTGTATTTACTGATGGTTCTACAACCTGAAAAGGAAAAAACATTTTAGATGTTTTCTTTTCTAATCTGCAGGATACAAATACAGTTAAATTATTCAGTTATGTTTACATACATTCACTGCACAAGAATCTGTATTCCTTGAAGTCATGGCTGCAACCTGGTTATTGCCATGCTTAGGACTACAATATCCACTATCGCTGTCAATGTCTGCTTCACTTGCACCTTGTTCACTAGATGACTCTGCAGCAGGGTGAGAAGCTCTTCTGCGTCTGCCTTTTGATTTCCAAAGCATGGTAGAGGTGCTTTCAGAAAGTGACTTATTAGCTATATCCGAAGGAAAGTCTGCAAGACAAAAGATAACAATTCCTGCATAAATAAATAATTATGAAACATGAAAAAAACATACATGATAAAAAAAAAGAAACAAGCCAGTGTCTTTGCACACAACCATTTCCCTTTAATAAAATTAACAATAGCACTGGTTTTCTTTTTTTTTCTTTTTTTTTTTTAAAAAGATGATTATTAGTTGGATCTAGACAACTCCCTCAACAAGGGAAGAGTTCTTTTTTGACATTGGCAAGATCTCTGTAGAAGCACACAATCATTGCAACATTATAATCTGAAACATAAAATAGGTCTCTGCACACACCAGCACCTTTTCTTCATTATCTTACTGATCTGCAAAAATCACTCTCAGAAGCTACCTCTGAAACTGGTCCACCTTCTTTTAGGACAGACAACAAGTGAGATATAGTTCTAGTTATTTTGTACACCCAGAAAATAACAAGAAATTACCTGTTTGCTGTGATGCATCAACCAACAAAACAATCTTTGATCTGTTCTCAGGACCTGATGAACTAGTCTCCTTTTGAGTGGCTACATTTTTCACTGGGGGACGTTTATTTCTTATGTGCATCTGTAGCTGCTGTTGCTGTTTTAAAAGATTAGCCATACATACTCATAAGCCATATGATTTGACTTCATAGTTATAATCAAACTAAAGAAACAAATTGAAAGTTCTAATGCTCTTTACAGAAGCCACATATTTGAAGACGAGATTAAGGGAAATATTCATAAAGTACTTGTAAGAACATTTTCTGCACAAACTTTTTTGACGCTTCCACCTCATTACAGTAAACAAAGTCTGAGGATATTTTATTCTCTAAGGAAGTAATTCTAAACTCAGACCACACCAGCAGAGAGGCAGCAGGAATTTCCCATATTACATTTACAGATTTTATACGCTCATCACGTATTTTAACCACAAAATTGTCTCTGTATACAGAGTTAAATGTCTCTCTAAATAACACCTTTTCTGCCCGCTTTTCTTCCATTTATATAGGCCATACCTGTTCTTACTCAAATGAGAAGCATGCTTCCGTGCAAAGACACTTTCTTTCTACAATTCTACTTATCCTGTTAACAAAGGGACAGCATCATGCTTACTTTTTGTATGACGGGTCCCCTGTTACTGCTTCTGCTCCGCTGACTGGATAATGGAAAGACCTGGCCCGATGGGTTGGGACGCTCTGTGCATTCTGTAGTAACTGCATTTACAGCATTTGCTGTTTGAAAGGGTGCAGAATAGGGAGTAGGGAAAGGATGATAGAAACCCATGACCTGAGCACATGGTGCTGGCATCAACTGATAGTATGTGTATTCTGTAGAAACAGGTGGTTGTGCAGATATTATAGGATAAGCAAGGTATGGTCCTGCAGGATTTGGGTTGGGTTGTTGCCATCTGATGTCACTGTTATATAATGGAAACTGTCTGAAAAAAAAAAAATCAAAAGGAAAGAAAAAAAGATTGCTCATCACATTTTTCCCTCAAGAAAATTCAGAACATGCAAACACCACCCCCTTAAAAAAAACATTTCATAGGCTATTAGCTTACAGTAACCGAACTTAAATTTACTAAGACTTCTTAGAAATTCCAATTAAATTATGTTCACCAGCTCAAATTACATTCAAGAGCAAAATAAAGAGTTTTATCTTGTCATCTGTGTAAACTTAATTTCTAATATTAAATTTAGAAATTAAGCATAGGCATTTCCCTTAACAAGTACTTTGGACCTACTACAAATTTAATTGTTTTGACATCTCAAAAAGCATATATAACTTTAGAGACATAAGTTTAAACAAGGTAAGCCAGCAGAGAGATGTAAGAGTGAAGTTCATCAGCTTACTCAGGGCTGAGTACTTGAGTACACCAAGAAGTTGCCAACTCACCCTTGTTCAAAATTCCTTTGAAATGCAGGCCTCAACAAGCACACATGAAGACAGGCATTTACAAACTCAAACTTTCAAACTCATTTCATGAGAGATTATCTTCCATGAAGACCACAATCATGTATTACCTATTGGATTGATTTTCCTGTACAAATGGATAGCAAGTAATCAGATAGCTGGGGATAGGAGTTGGTTCCACACCATTAATTCCTCCGCTGTCATTAGGAAGCGCCATTGGGATCATTAGTGTTTCTGGACCCTTCTTCTGAGGAATAAATGGTTCTACTTCAGCTGACAGCTTGACATTCTTTAGAAAGAAAAAAAGAAACAATGACTTCATTAAGTACAGAAAAGTATAAATTGTTCGGAAAACTTAGATTCATGAAGTTGTATGGCATCCATCACAAACAGCAGGCAAAAGGAGGACAAGGCTACAAGCCTTCTGCAGTAAACTGAAAGACACGGAAAACAGTTGGCAAGCATTTGTTGGATCCTTCCAGTCAACACAGGCTGTAACACAGATCACCAACACCTAATGTTTATGTTAAACTTTACATAGTGCTGTACAAACACCGACTAATTTAGAAAGGGGCTGAAGTTCAGATCTTGCAGAGGAAATACTAGTCTCAACACAGAAAGAAACAGACTTAGCACTGTAGGTGGAGCACGGTCATGTAGGCTTGCATAATTGAAACCAACATATGGAATAAGTAGTAATGCCTGGTCTACACTACAAAACTGGCCGTGTTTCTAGGCAATTATAGAACAGGTTTTTCAGCCACCATAAGTTTACTGCTAAAATAGATGGAACATGTGTGGGGTTTTCTTCTGTGATACACCATCTGAACAAGTTGAACGTACTTTAAAGTGTTAAAAATGATTACTTTTTGCCACAAAGAGGGAATTAAAGACTGCTTAGAAGTAAATTCTAAATTGTGCTTTCAAAGGAAAAGATCAGCCCCAAAGGTAGCCTCAAAAGTTTATGGCTTTTTACCCACTGTTTTCATCTTTGTTTGTAATAGATTAGCTAGATTTATGCTTCAGCAATGAACAACACTCTGTTCAGCCAGCCAAAGCCTTAGTCTGAGATAAATGCAGATCCCAAATACCCTGAAATTCCATGCTCCAATATATGTTACAATTAGCCAAAAAAGATCTTTTTGTTCAAACATTTCAGCTTCAATATGCTTGCTTCTAAGTAGATTCTTTCTAAAACAGGCAAGGAGTCCAGAAATGTTTCTTTCCATTTATCCAGGAAACAATTCCAAAGGCAATGTATAACCTGTAGGAGGTCGTGGTCTTATTTTACAAAAGGAGAAGCTTGAAGGTTTGCTGTGCAGTGGACAGTTTTACATCCTTGCCACTACCTCCACAACATCCAAGTGAGCAAAATCAGTTAAATAAAGTGAGTTCTGAAAACATCATGACAAGTAGTCATGTCTGCCACACCTCTCAGTCCACATCTTTACTCTGTGTCAAGCCCCCAGCCCATACAGAAACATTTCAACCTAACTGTCCAGAATCTGAAACTAAACACTTATTATACCCTCCCTCCATTTATTTTTGGAAACAAAGCACGTGAGCAGATCAGGTATTTCTTTATCAGCATGGGGTGGGGAAGCGGGTGGAAGTTGGAAGGGGAAAGTCCAAAAACGTTTAGAAAATACAGTTATCTGAAGTCAGTAGGAAACTACTTTTTTTCCTTGATGAACAGGCACATTAAATGTAATAGACTGAACAAGAAAAAATCCTAGCTTAAACTAGGAGTTAAATTTATTTGAGCAACAGTGAGGTTGTGCAGATTTGTGCACACTTGTGCAGATTACTGGTTCTTCATTTAGTTAGTCTGATACACTTAAATACAATGAAGTTTAATTAACCAGCAAAAGGCAGAATCATCATCATCAACCAAATGACTAAGAGCAGTCGACCAAGGGAAACCAGCTGATGTGATCTTTTTGGACTTCAGCAAGGCTTTTGACACGGTTTCCCATAGGATCCTACTAGACAAAATGTCCAGCATACAACTTAACAAAAACATCATGCAATGGGTGAGCAATTGGCTGATGGGCAGGGCTCAAAGGGTTGTGGTAAATGGGGCCACATCTGGCTGGCAGATGGTCACTAGTGGGGTCCCTCAAGGCTCCATTTTAGGGCCAGTCCTCTTCAATGTCTTTATAAATGATTTGGATGGAGGACTAGAAGGTGTTCTGAGCAAATTTGCCAATGACACCAAACTTGGAGGAGTTGTGGACACGGATGAGGGAGGAAAGGCCTTGCAGAGAGATCTGGGCAGATTGGAGATCTGGGCAATCACCAACCATATGAAGTTTAACAAAAGCAAGTGCCAGGTCCTGCACCAGGGACAGGGCAACCCTGGCTATACGTACAGACTGGGTGATGAGACGCTGGAGAGCAGCCCCACAGAGAGGCATCTGGGGGTTGTAGTTGGCAGCAAGTTGAGTATGAGCCAGCAGTGTGCCCTGGCAGCCAGGAGGGCCAACCGCATCCTGGGGTGCATCAAGCACGGCATCGCTAGTAGGTCGAGGGAGGTGATTGTCCTGCTCTACTCTGTGCTGGTGTGGCCTCACACGCTGTGTGCAGTTCTGGGCACCACAGTACAAGAAGGACAAGAAACTGTTGGAGAGTGTCCAGAGGAGGGCGACAAAGATGGTGAAGGGCCTAGAGGGGAAGACGTATGAGGAGTGGCTGAGGTCACTGGGCCTGTTCAGCCTGGAGAAGGCTGAGGGGGAACCTCATTGCAGTCTACAACTTCCTCGCGAGGGGGAGTGGAGAGGCAGGTGACCTATTCTCCTTAATCACCAGTGACAGGACCCGAGGGAATGCTGTCAAGCTGAGGCAGGGGAGGTTTAGGCTGGACATCAGGAAGAGGTTCTTCACCGAGAGGGTGGTTGCACACTGGAACTGGCTCCCCAGTGAAGTAGCCACTGCACCAAGCCTGTCTGAATTTAAGAAGCGACTGGACTGTGCACTTAGTCACGTGGTCTAAATTTTGGGCAGACCTGTGCGGTGCCAGGAAATGGACTTGATAATCCTTATGGGTCCCTTCCAACTCCGGATATTCTATGAGTTACACTGTAATCCACCAAACAAATGAGTTAAAAACCAACAGTTATTTAATTACTTCATTGTCACATACTCTTAAGAGAGAAAAAAAAGACAGTTGAGACTGTAAAAGCTAATGAGAAATATAGTCACTATTAAGTCATCATAACTACCAATGATCAATGCAATGTTTTTATAATATAGAAATATTTTTTCTGCCTCTATCAAACTGGATCTGAATTCCCTGCCAATCTTGAAAGTAAGGCCAAAAATTTTGCTCACTAAATTCATTCTGTTACACTCCACACGACACTCAAACTAACTGCAGAGTCTCTAAGAGCTATTCTAATGACTTGCACAAATAGAACCAAACTATTCCTCCAAGTGTAAATCTTTTATTAGGAAAATCACCTGCCTGTTTTTAATTTTATCCTTCCATTGTCAAATTTGCTAATTGTCCTGGTTTCAGTTAGAACAGAGTTAATTTTCTTCCTAGTAGCTGGTAGAATGCTATGTTTTGGCTTAGGATGAGAAGAGTGCTGATAACACCCCGATGTTTTAATTGTTGCAGAGCAGTGCTTATACTAAGCCAAGGACATCTCAGCTTCTTGCTCTGTCCTGCCAACGGGCAGGCTGGGGGTGCAGCAAGAGCTGGGATGGGACAGACCCAGGACAGGTGACCCAAACTAGCCAAAGGGGTATTCCATACCATCTGACGTCATGCTAAACAATATATAGGGGTGGCTAGCCGGGAGAGGGGGGCCGGACTGCTCAGGGTTAGGCTGGGCATCGGTCAGTGGGTGGTGAGCAATTGCATTGTGCATCACTTGTTTGTACACATTATTATTAGTAGTACTATTATCATCACTGTATTATTATTATTATTGTTGTTATTGTTATTATTATTTTCCTGTCTTATTAAACTGTCTTTATCTCAACTCACGGGCTTCACTTTCCATTTCTCTCCCCCGTCCCAGAGAGGGAGGGGGGAGGGTGAGCAAACAACTGTGTGGTGTTTAGCTGCCGGCTGGGTTAAACCACGACACTAATTCATAATCCTTCCATGAGATTTTCTGTAGTATTGGCTCAAATTTCATCATTAGCTACTGTTCCCTGTAAACATCATCTCACTTCCTCAAAAAGCCACTGGGTAGCTCCAGGGCGCAGCAGTGCTCTGCTCTCCGACCTCAGGCATATTGTAGAGCTCCCCGGTGACTCAAGCACCCACCTGCCAAATTCCAAGGCATCTGATCCAACACAGCTCCACAGCAACAAAAGCTTTTTTTAATTATCAAACGCTTTCATACAGCGATCCCATCATAACCAACAAATACCTATGCTCAATTCCCTCTCTGAAAAGCAAGAGATTTTGTCCATGATACAGAAAGAATTCCAGACAGAATTACTTGCAGAAGAATTGATTCAGTTGTGGACTGGCCTACAAACCCAGATGGCAAACATGTTAGAGCACCAAGCTAAGGCTGTCTCACCCATGGAAGACTCAACAGCATAACGGGGATGAGCTCTTTACAAATATAGCATTCTTATGAAGTACTGAAAACTTCCAAAAAAGTATGCCTAATCTGCTGGTCACCAGCTTCCAGGAGAACGTCAACCCAACTTTAGCCAAGACAGCAATTACAAACCACTCAAGAACTGACTAGGAAAACAGTCAAAATATACGTGTGATTCAGGTGGTACAAGATTCCCTATTTTGAAGGGCTTTCTAGTCTCTCTGCTCTTTCCCGATATTACTTTGGAAGACTGATGTGGAAATACAACCAAACACAGACACACATACACGCACACATTTCTTAATGGTGATTCACTTGCAGAACTGTCTTAGTCTTATCACAATAATTTGTACTATTGTGTTATATCATCATTATTACTCTTATGAAGGAACATTCTTTCACTTTTTTTTTTTTAAGTACATGATAACTGATCAAAGCAGGAGCTGAATGACTCCCATCAGCAAACCTGCCACAGCAGAAGTATTTCTTACCATTTGGGAAAGATAAACCCTTTCCTGTTAAGGTAACTCTTTCTTCTTCCCACCCCCTCACCCCCCCTTTTTAAGGGATTTTAAACAATGCTGAGAATGTAAAATCCTTGATTTTAGTAGTAACATTTTCAAGATAATGTGTTATCCAAACTGCTTTTGCAAAACCAAGAAAAGTGACCTTGGTTTTCCCTCTAAGTATTCTGCATAAAATGTATTGGATCTCTTTAAACCTTTCT